TAATACATATGCAAACAAGTTAGAGCGTAAGCATGATAGTGAGCGAACAAGCAAACGAGCGATTCCGGTGGCAACCTGATCCTGCAAATCGGTCTCCATACCATGATCAATGCTTGTGCCGGAAATTTCACTTGAATGGAGATCTCCATACTGCGTAATTTTCGGTCAGGAACTCAACGTTTGCATCATTCTTATGTTAGCTGAAGTGAGATTGACCGAATTATGTGAACTGTGATGTTTGGTAACAATTTCAATCTTATTATTGAAATTGTTTTTAATAAATAAATTATATTGCACTATATTCTTTAATATACGATTTCATCGCAAATCAATTTTTTCAGCACCAATGAAATAGTCATTCGAATGGCATAATAATATGGGTTTTAATGTTAGAAGTTAATTAAGTTCAAGAATCGAAATGTTTCTGAGTGTTGTTCGTCGCTGTTCTAAAGTACACACAATTGGATCATTATTAAAGACGCAAGGTGAAGTTGGGAACGTGCAAATTAAAGTATGTTTTTGTGATTGTTTGTCACTCTTCAAAACTATTTCGTTCAGATGTAATGCACTCTTGAAATAACATTTCACCTTCTGAATACTCTTTGATGAGTGTTTTTTCCAGTTCATTTCCTCATTGACCATTCCATCTAGCGATCTTGAATTCATCAAATCCTTATTGCGGGAAGTTTTCCAAAAGTTCGTTTCCTTCCGATGAGACCTGCACTTGGTCAAACGGGTTTGCGGACGTTTCCAACAACTCCCTTTCATGCAGAAGAAGTCCTATTTTCAAGGTGGGTACGCCGGTTGTAGTTATAATATGTAGGTATTGAATTAAGGTAGGGTTGGGGATCTTCAAAACTCGATTATTCGCTAGAGTTCTGGGTCTGCGGAACTCGGTAGCTGCGACCTCGGGGACCTTCGAGCACTAGCTGTTTCCCACGGACACGACCCTACGCTGTATTCTCGGAGGGCCCAACCTCGGAGTCCTCATCACTAAATCCTCTCCTAGGTTGGACCGCAGACACCCGGAACTCGAGGGCTTTCGAGTTTTTTTTCCCAGTTTTCGAGGATATCTGCTCATCGGGAAAACCTTCACTGTCGGGAACCCTCGAGCAAGTACGAGGTCTTAAAGGACTTCGACCCTATATCCTACTCCGGAGGATCTCCGAACCCTCGCGAGGCCCCCCGGCCCATGACCATGCTTTGTACCTTCAGGGATCGCTGATCTAATGGGTCTTGACCTCGAGCCGGATTTCACCTCGACTTAAACCTACATTGAATTATTTGCAGGGATGGGCACGTAAAGTGCATCGAAAGGGAAAATATTTATTTGTTCATTTGGATGATGGTTTGAATAATAGCGGTAATGATAAAGATAACAGTCATAATGGGTCAATGCTCCAAGTTGTAATACCGCGTTCATTGTGTCATTCAGTAATGGTCGGCACAGCATTAGAATTAAGTGGTGAATGGACCAGAAGTCAAGGTTCGAAGCAGCCCATGGAATTGTTCGCATCAAAATGTAAACCTATCACTGATAATCCACTGGTTAGTCCGTTCGTTACTTGTTATTAGTATTATGATTGTCTTCATTATTGTTGTTGTTATCATCATTGTTTTTATTATTACTGTCGTCGTGATTGTTAATACTCTAGATTTATGATCCGAAATCGCTTACGTGCTCATGATTAATTTTCCGTTTATTGATCAATTCACAAATGTCGCTCCCAATTTCTTTCCAACATTCAAGTTATGAAAATTATCCCAGAAGTGCTCTGTCTAGTAACCAGTCCTATCTAGTAACCAAAAAAGGATAGCTGATAGGAGGTGACCTATCAGCTATCCTTTTTTCCACCGAGAGTTCCATACCAATAACGAGGTGTGTAACGATGTGATTGGATTCAATGCAAATCATATGAAAAATACAAAATATATTTGTATTTCCGATCAATTTAACACCCAATTTCACAGTTTTTGTTGTTTTTTAAAGATAAGTGTGAACAAATTGCAATTACTGGAATTCAGCCATACAAATCCGACTCATACGGCCTAGTTCTGGAAACTGTTTGAAGTAATTTGCAGTGTGAACTGTTGATGTTTTCTGATGTTGAGGCTTATTCAGTGATTAGAGAGAAGTTATTCCGTGTTTACATTGAAGCTGTCATCGGATTCAGGTTGAGGTTCATTCTATAATGTTAACTGCTTCCAACATCCTTCAAAAACTCGGTCGTGTGAGTCGGATCGTACGATTGAGTTTCATCGGCGCCCTGAGCCCACCTTACAAAGGCCCTTCTTGAATGTAAACGTACCATATTGAAATGAAAATGTTTGGAAGACATTTTTGTGCGTTTAGGTTGTTAAACAGAGTATAAATTCTCACAGAATCAAATATATCCCTCAGTGATTTGATACAGCCCTACGGCTAATGTGTTTTTTCTCAATGAATCTGTTATTACGGAATATGATGATGCAACTGCCGTCTTTCGATACAGTTGTGATATTTATACAATTAAGACGATTGCTGAAACATCGGATGCAATGAGACAACGATTACATTTGAGGCCTTTGTCATCGAACTTTAGAAGTGTTCTCCGATTACGAAGTCAGCTGAATGTGATCAGTCGTCAGTTCTACGAGGTTCTCAATTCAACATATAAGTTCAACTTTATGCATTTGAAGTTCTAACGAGGATTGATAAGTGTAGTATTTAGATAGACGATATTTTGCATTGGTGGAATTGTGAATGAAGTAACTAATGAATATGAAATAATTCAGTCGAAGTTCGATAATTCAAGTATCATTTCCAGAAGGAAGGTTTCATCGAAATCGATACACCGATGATATCGTGTAATGACTGTGAGGGTGCTGGAGAGGCGTTTCTGGTTAAGGTCGTGGTTTCAGATTTTATCCATGAACTCATTTCCATTATTTATTCTTCAGCGATTATGATTGTTCTTGTTTGATTCAGATTGTTACCACATGCTAACAATATTTCATTGAGCGCTCTGCCTGTTAAGTTTCATTTTTCGCCAAGTAAAATGCTTGTCGTTGTCATTTATTATATTTTGAACTGAACGATTGAGAATCACTCAAAAATAAGCTAATCTGCATTCATATTGCTGGGTATATTCCATTGTTGATAGTGTAACTTTTTTTAGAGCATTGATTATGAACTGACAATATTGAAAATAGTTAAGGTGTTATTATAATTGATTTTTATTATTCAGGCTCAAGAAGATGAGGACTTTTTTGGTGATAATCGTTTTTATTTACCAGTCTCTTCGCAGCTTCATCTTGAAGCAGTCATAAGGTTATTGAACATGATAACAGTTTATTGACAACGTGTTTCTTTATTCGAATAGATGATTAATTCTGATCCTTAAATTTGATTTTTGATTCATGATTTTTGATTAAAATAACTCAATTAAGCAATGTTAGAGCTGTTCAGTGATCGAGGGAAATAATGGTTTAGTATCCGTATCAAGTGATTCTTAAATTTCAGTGGTATATCAAAAGTGTACACTCTGAGTCCAGCATTTCGCGCTGAAAAATCACTGTCACGGCAGCATCTAGCTGAATTTCGAATGCTTGAGGCTGAAATTGCATTTTTGGATGATTTGGATGAACTTTGTTCCTTTGTCGAACGTTTTGTTCGGTTTGTCATCGAACGTTTAAAGCAGTCGACTTGTGTTCAAACCGACTACAATAATATGTCAAATACATTCTGTGATCAGGTTGTTATTGCGATCATTGTTGTTGATTTCTTTTTTTGTCAATATTCCTGCATAAGATATTTGATTGCTTTATGTAAATAATTGCTATCCCGGTTGATATTCAAAGATGTCGAAAAGTGTGAACAACGTTAGTCTCATTGAACATTGATAAAAGAACAACTCTTTCACTTTCATAGTACT